CCTTGCGCCCCATGGCCGACTGCATCATCGCCGCGGAGAGCCCGAAGTCGGCGATCTTGGCCAACACCGGCGCATCGTCGTCCATCGACACCAGCTGCAATCACGAGAGCACCGTCAGACACCATCGCACACGCACACGCACACGCACCACCGCACACACGCACCACACACACACACACACACACGCACACACACGCACACGCACACGCACGAACTGAGACGAGACAGTGAAGCAGAAGGGAGATGTACGAGGACGTTGGGCGATTTGAGGTCGCGGTGGACGATGGGTGGTGAGCAGCTGTGGAGGAAGGCCACGCCCTTGGCGATGTCCTTGGCGAGCCGGAGGCGCAGCGACCAGTCGATCACGCTCTCCTCGTTCTGCAGCAGCTCCAACAGCCTGCGTGACACGATTCATTAGTGATGGCGTGAAAGGAGCACACAACGCGAGCTCACCGACGACGACGCATGCGACACACGACACGACACGACACGACACGACACGACACGACACGACACGACACGACACGACACGACACGACACGACACGACACGACACATACGGCACAACACACACGACACATGGGTGGAGGGTTGAAGACGCACGTTCCGCCGCTGACAAACTCGGTGACGATGCAGTAGGAGGGCTTGGTGCAGAACCCGGTCATCGTGATGATGTTGGGGTGCTTCAGGCCGCTGTGTGATTTCACGCACAACGTCGTATAACCCAACATATCAGATATCCTGCAGACGTCTTGCGTTGCGTTGCGTTGCGTTGCGTTGCGTTGCGTTGCGTTGCGTTGCGTTGCGTTGCGTTGCGTTGCGTTGCGTTGCGTTGCGTTGCGTTGCGTTGCGTTGGGGTACCTCATCAGGAAGACTTCGTTCCTGAATTCGTCGAAGGCCTTCAGCAGTCGGTTCTCCCGGATCTTCTCGTCGTTGAACTTGAGCCGCTTGATCGCCACCTGATGAATGCAGTCGGCAGTTACCACCCCGCGCGTGCGTGTGCGGTGGGTGTGTGCGACGATGTGCGGTGGTGCGTGTGCGGTGGTGCATGCATTACCTCTTCGTTGTTGTAGATCCCCTTGTAGACCACCGAGAAGGAGCCCTCGCCGATCTTCTCCTTGATGTCCAGGCTGGCGTAGTTGATTTTGCTGTGAAGCAGTCGACACAAGTACGCGTGAGCTCATGGTCGGCTGTCACGAGGCACATCAGCGGGCACGTACTTTTGGGCGAGGTCGGTGAGGGCGATGTCGGGCACGAGGTGGTCGTAGCGGACTGCGATGACCGGCGAACAGTAGGCGTGGCTCTCCCCGCGCATCACAGCCAAGCTGAAAGTACCAACGCACAGCACGCACAGCACACGGTTGAGTGTAAGGAAACGACACCCACACACACAGGGGAGGGGACGAGCCAAAAAAACGGAGGTTCTGAGCTGTACCGGCACTCCTCGAGATCGAACATGCGTGGCCGCTTCTTGCCCCACTCGAGGCAGTGCACGCACGGCACCATCACCTTGGTCTACGCACGCACATCAAAAAAGTTTGTCAGCTTTTTTCCCCCTCCCTGGCTAGAGCCAGTGGTGGGTACTTACCTTGAGGTTGTACCAGTCCGCCACCAGCGAGTCGGCGCACCCCACGGCGAGCGAGAACAGCGACCGGTTGGTGTTGCCCGCGTTGAGCCTGTCCACGACAGACGCAATATATTAATATCGAATAAATCAAATAATTGAAATACATAAAATACAATAAAATGAAAGAAAATGCGGCGTACTTGTCCCGGCTGGTCCGCAGAGAGATCTTGATGACCTTCGACCTCTCGGACCACTCTAACGCGATCTTGTCGTTGTCCACCACCGCCACCATGCCATACCTTAAAAAGAAGAAGATGAAGTCAGCTGTGTGTCGTGTCGTTGGTCGTGTCGTTGGTCGTGTGCGTGTGCGTGTGCGGTGGTGCGTGTCGAGGAGGCGTACCGCCAGTAACAGGTGGCCTGGAGGTCGAGGGAGAGGAGGCGGACCATGATCTTGGCGAAGAAGCCCTTGGGAATGAAATCGAACTGGTAGTTGCGCCCGAACTCGATGCACTCGGGCATGTCCCCGGGCTGCTTGCGCATGGGCCACAGCGACTGCAGGTCGTCGGGCGGATTGTCCGGCAGCAGCGACGGCAGCAAGCTGAACTTCTCCGACGTGTCCTGGAAACACACCACACGCGCAATCGCACACGACACGACACACGCACACACACGAACCACCGCACACGCACACACGAACACGACACACGTGCACAACGTCAGGCGGTGAAGTGAATGTGGAGGATGATGAAGAATGCGGGGAATGTGCGCACCTTGAGGTTGAGGGTGATGGCGATGTCGAATTGGTGGAGCAGCTGGAGGAGGAACGGGTGCAGCTCCGGCGGGAAGGAGGGCGGGCGCCAGATCTGGGCGAGGTTGGAGTGGGGCAGGATGCCGTTCTTGGAGAAGGACTGCTTGGTCGTGAACACCGTGGCCATCACCTTGGTGAGCCATTGCGGGTCCAGCACCACAATGTTACGCAGCTTCTCATCGTTTCTGAAATGCACCTGCAAAAATTACAAAAGCAAAAGCCATTAATACAAACTATGAATAATAACAATAATAAGAATAAATAATTGAGATGATAATAAATGAGAATTATAAGCATAAAAGAAAAGAAAAAACATCGAAGACGTACGAGGGAGCCCAAGTTGTGCAGGAGCTGAGTGGCAGCGTAGAGGTCGCTGCTCTTGGCGCGCTTGTCTTCCTCTTTTCGCCGGCGCCCCTTCAGTTTCTTCTTCGTGTCGGAGACCGGCGGCGGCAGCTCCGAATCCCCTGCTCGCACCAGTTGATGATAAGATTACAGCAGCCACCGCCAACCACACGTGACGCTGGTGGTGATAATGATGAAGGTGATGAGGTGGTGGTGATGGTGGGTACCAAGGTCGTCGTCGACGCCGCAGCGCTTGGCGAGCTCGCGGAACTCCTCCCAGGAGAGGACGGGCGGCACTCGCTTGGCTCGCTCGGCGATGAGCGCACGCTCGAGGGCCATGTAGGACTTGGGCATCCGCTCGCCCATGTGCTCCTGCGAGCCCACCACCTCCTCGATGGCCTCCTGGACCGCGCCGAGGCCCTTGCCCACCGAGCACGATACGAACTTGACCGTCTTGATGTTGGGGAAGCGCGCCGAGTACTTCTCCGTCAGCTCCAGCGCCATGGCCTCGACCTGTTCTTCGGCGCATTGGTCCAGGTGGGTGCCCACGATCATAACCGGCGCATCGGGCGCGCGGGCCACGATCGATTGAAGCCAGTGCTCCATGTAGGCCGCGTTGAGTCCCTTGGAGAGATTGAAGATGACCAGGTACAGCGATCGCTCCGACAAGAAGAACTCATGGGTCGTGTAGTAGATCTCTTGCCCTGCACAGCACAAATGCATTAAAGAAAATATATAAATAATACTATATGTAAAATTATATAAATTATATTCTCTATTTATATCAATATATATCATAATAATGATTGGAATGTACCGGCAAAGTCCCACAGGGTGAGGGTGACGTCCTTGGGCTCGTTGTAGTCTTCGATGAGGCTGCCGGAGTTGCTGAGGCCCGGCTGAAGAGCGCTGGAGCTGGTGGGCGCACTCTCTGCACT